AACAGTTTATTATGTGGTCTTTTAAACTTTGTATCTGCACAGAATGATAACTTCATAATTTAAAAAAGAGAGACAAATGAACAAGAGAGACAAATTCCCCTCAATCAGAATATGTAATTTAGTATATTATATTTCAGTTATATTAGAATATACCGTGGATTTTCTGGAAAAAAATTAATTGCAGTATTTACCTCTGGATAGTTAGGCTAGGAGTAATTTATTTTATCTTTTTGCTTTTCTATCATAGTTATAGGAGTTGAGGTTAGGAAGTGATACATTATTTTAAAAATCATCGTTTCCTGCCCTAACCGGTTTGGCTCAGTGGATAGAGGCTCAGTGGATAGAGCATCAGCCTGAGGACTCAAGGGTCCCAGGTTCGGTTCTGGTCAAGGGCATGTGGGGGTGTGCAGGAGGCAGCTGATCGATGTTTCTCTCTCATTGATGTTTCTAACTCTCTATCCTTCTCCCTTCCTCTCTGTGGAAAATCAATAAAATATATTTAAAAAAAAAGAAAAAAAATATCATCCTTTCCTGAATTAGAAACAAAACAACCTTTTAGACATTAATTAATGGCAGTTTTCATAACACTGATCTATAATCCTAAACCAGTGGTTTTCAACGTTGGCTGCTGTTACAGACTCACTAGTGGAAGTTTTAAAAATATAAAAAAGTAGCCCTAACCGGTTTTGCTCAGTGGATAAAGCATTGGCCTGGGGACTGAAGGGTCCTGGATTTGATTCTATTCAAGGGCACATGCCTGGGTTGCAGGCTCAATCCCCAGTAGGGGACATGCAGGAGGCAGCCGATCAGTGATTCTCTCTCATCATTGATGTTCTCTCTCTCCCTCTCCCTTCCTCTCTGAAATCAATAAAAATATATAAAATAGAATAAAAAAGTAGGACCTTACCTCCTTCTCCTCCCCCTCCCCCAAATATAGAGAAAAATCATCAGTAGGACCAATCAGGACCTTGATTATATTTTAAGGTTCCCTGTTAATTCCTACAGTAGCCTAGATCACCTAGGCCTGGGGTTATGAACTGACTGCCAATAGGTGAAGACCCATAGATGCATTCTATATGGCCATTGGTTAAAAAAAATTTTTAAAGGCATTGGGCAAGAGATATATTATTCCTTTAGCCAGATTCCACTACTCCCTAATGTTTACATTCTGCCCACTCATCAACTTATTATCTGCTGACCTTTGTGAGCATTTGAATTATGAGTAAACCCAGAACTAGTCCAAACTCCCTTGTTTTACAGATAAACTAGCCAGAGTCCAGTGTGTGTGTGAAGAGATTATGGGGATTTTGGTTTTATTGTCTGCCTGATCATTTCATTCCAGCATAACATAAATGTAAGGATTATTTCTATTATACATTGGTACTACTTAAAGTGTTCGTGGCTATATGTCTCCAAAGTGAAAATGAAATTAATTGGGGGATATGATTTGATATATAAACAATATAAGTTGTCAGTGATACAGATAATACAGCAACTGAATATTTGGGTTTGCCCAAGTTGAAGCTGATTGAATGTTTTCTTGGTTCCTTAAATATTTGGGAGGTTAAAGAGTGCATGTCTTGTTTTAGTCCTATATTTGGAATATTTATTTAAAAACATAGATAAATTAATACTTTGGTCTGTCTTTTGCAGCACAATGTTAGAGGTGTTGTATCTATGGCTAATAATGGCCCAAATACCAATGGATCTCAGTTTTTCATCACCTATGGCAAGCAGCCACATTTGGACATGAAATACACAGTATTTGGAAAGTGAGTATCCTGGTTATGATATTCTTCTTTGGAATTTCATTGCAAAGGATGCATATGAGTGGCTGTGATAGTAGCATAACTAATATGGAAAGTGCAGTCTGAGAGTTAAACTTACCTGGAATGTAAACCCACCACTTAACCTGCCCTGTGACCTTGGGAAATTATAACCTCTCTCAGCCTATTTCCTGATTTTCTCAAAGACAGGTTAATATGTTTTTTCTGGTCCATTATGCAAATTAACAGTAATGTGTTTTTTCATTGAGATAGCATTTTACAGCAACTAACAGATCTGAAAAACAGTGGCTTAAACAAGATGGACTGGGACGGTCCTTTTCTCTTAAGGATACTGTAATTGCTATACATATATGGATATTGTGTTTCAATCAGAAAATTTTCATCCATTATATTATTTCTCTTTCAGGGTAATAGATGGTCTGGAGACTCTAGATGAATTGGAGAAGTTACCAGTAAATGAGAAGACATACCGACCTCTTAATGATGTACACATTAAGGATATAACTATTCATGCCAACCCATTTGCTCAATAGTTATAATAGGCATGGACAAATACTTGGCAGACTATTTGAGGAACACACCTATTGCGGTTTACCCAGCTTGAATTATGTAAGAGATTGTATCATCCTGCTTGTTTACAACTAAGATCTTCTGAGTCTGTGGTACTAAGGGGAACCAAATAACTTATACTCTTATGATTGAGCATATATTCTTTACTATAACTATATCCAATGTATTTAAGTTTAATTTTTTTAAAAAAATGTTTACCTTTTGTTACATAAAAACAATCATTTTTAAATGCTGAGTTTCAAATCAGTCATTTTTGAGCAGCCTAATTATAAACTTCTACTATATCTAGTCCACATCGTGGAAGTATTATTTTCCATTAATTGTTCACTTTGTGAGGTTACAAAGAAGAAAGACAAGATGAAGAGGTATATAGAAAGGCCAGCCAATACTTCTGCTATTTTCTTTGGTCTTTAGATTTATAATAGGGGCTCAGTCTCTATCTCTCTCCCTTCCTCTCTGTAAAAAATCAATAAAATATATAAAAAAAAATAAATAAAAACATATCTTTTAAAATATGGCAGGATAACGTTTGACAGATGATCCATTTGAAAAATGCAATTAGTTGGTTAAAAACACCAGTTGTAGAGTCCCGTCTGTGTTTGAATCACAGCTCTGTTCCCTGCTAGTAACTTTAGGCAAGTTAACTTACCAAGCTTTAGTTTTCACATTCATAAATAATATTCCCTCATAGACTATGGTGAGGATTAAAAGAAATTATGTTTGTAAAGCTTCTGGCATGTCATGTTCTGTATTAAGTAATGGAAGCTGTTCTCCTATTTATCTCCACTAGAGCACTCTTACCTAACCAGGTCATTTATCAGACTCTGCTGTTGATTTTATCAAGAATGTTTTCCACTTCCTTGATTAGATTTTGGGTATTCCTAAAACTAAGCATTTTTTGGTTTGTATTATTTTGGCAGATGGCTGATGAAATGTTTTGGTTCTTTCTTAATTACAGTTTGGGAGTTAAGCTTGTAGCTGTCCTCTGGTTACCATCTATACCTTCCACTAAACTGAGGCACCAATTATACTAATGTTCTCACATTTTTGTTTCAGCCTTTTAACCATTTAAGTTTCTAGAATTAGTATGAAAGGCCCTTTTTGGCCAGAGTTTGTTTTACACTTATTCCTGATCTCTTTCTTCTCCAAACATGTCATTGAATTTTTGTCATCACTTTTAAGAGGCTTTTACTCATTGTCAGGATGTTTTGGTACTGACTGGCATTCCCTCAATTTTTATGTTAAACGCTGCCATTTTTTAAAGTAGTGCCACTATGGTCACTTTTGGGCTCCTTCTTATAAAGTCAGCTCAGTTATAGCCGAATAGGTAGGGCGGTATCCTGGCTGCCCACCTTGAAGGCAAGATCCAGAATAATGACTTCTGTCCACTCCCACTGAGTTCCGTTTCACACTGATCACGTTAGCGTTTGAGGGACGGATGTTCCATGTATTACACTACAAAAACGACTATAATATTGCTGACCAACCAAAATTCTCTTTAAAAGGAGAGGAATATCTAAATCAGAGGTTGGCGAAACAGACTGCCCATCTGTTCTTGTAAATAACGCCTTCTTGGAACGCAGTCCCATTCCATTTTGTATTGTCTGGCTGGTTTGTGCTACAACAGCAATGCCGCTTGGTAGTGACAGAGACCATATCTGGCCCTTTAGGGAAATTGCCAGCCTTGACCTGGACTGAGAGATGAGAGATCCAGGTGGGGGGGGGGGGGGGTAGGGGGTGTTGCGCTGGCGCCTCTCTGGCTTGTAGGTGACCCTGTTCCGTCTTCACGTGGTCTTTCTGTGTGTGCCTGTGTCCACTCTATGATAATAAAAGCGTAATATGCTAATTAGACCTGATGTCCAGGACGACGACCTTCCGGATGAAGCCAGGACTGAGGGAAGCCCGAGGGAAGCCAGCAGCTGGGGGAAGGCCTACTCTTGCACGAATTTTGTGCATCGGACCTCTAGTCTCTATAAGGAAAGACACCAGTCCCATTGGATTAGGTCCCACCCTAGTGACCTCATTGAACCATATCAGCCTCTGTAAAGGTCCTGTTTACAGTCACCTGTGAGATAGTCGCTGATATTAGTAAAATTATTAATTGGGAACACACTCCCCACTCAGCCCACACATAATGTGCGCTAAAGAACACACTTTTCCTCGTCTCCAGGTTCACAAATACAATCTCAGTGAGCACAGACGAGACTGTTCTAACACTTTCAGTGCTTCCCCATTGTCCAACTCTGACCCTGGCCAACATGGCAGCCGTCGCAGCTTCCCCAGGGCCGCAGCTGCCCCGTCACCTTCAGTAGCGCCTCTCGCCCCCCGGCGCCTGCGCACACGGGCCCCGCGCCCCGCCCCCCTCCTGCGCATGCCCCCCTGCACCCCGCGCACGCCCCGCCCGGGGGCGGAGCCTCGCTGCAGCGTCACCGGTGTTTTTCAGAAGAGCCCTGACGCAGCGGCTGTCAGCTCCATTTTGCGGTCGGAGCCCGTCCAGCCTGCAGGGCCTTCTCCGCTGTCGCGTTAGCTTTGTCTCCTTCGGCTTCGACTCTCTGGCCAGGACGGTAAGCGCGGGGGGAGGCGGGCTGGTGTCAGGGCCCCGTGTCTGCGCCCCGCGAGCGCCCGGTGATGCCGCCCTACCCGGGCCCGTAGGACGCCGCCCGCGGTCTCCTGCACAGCGAGCCCTTTTCCTCGCCCCATCCGGCTCTGTCCAGCCTGTCGCCGCGAGTTTCTGCCGCAACCTCGACGCCCCAGACGCTGGCTGAGGAGAGTGACCGTGTTTGCGCGGCGGGGGTGGGGCGGGCCGCGCCCGGGCGCCATCTTGTCTGCAGCGGTCGCCGCCGCCCGCGCTGTAAGATGGCGGCGGCGGGGCGCCCGTCGCGGCCGGTGTTTACCGTGGTTCCTCGTCAATGACGCTTCTGTGAGGAACTGTGCCGACAAAGACGGAAGGCGCGGCCCGGGTACAAGGCGCTATCCCTTCACGTCCAGTCGCTTCTCGCAGGACTGGAATGCCCCCTCGGGGTGGTCTGGGATCCCGAGGAGAGAAACGATAGAGTATTTGCAGGCGTGTGTGGTCGGGCATCTTGTGTGTGGAATGTCTGCGCCCCACTCGGGGCCGTTTGAGCGCGGAGACGGGGGGAGTCAAGTTAGGGCTTTTCGTTGGAAACATTGACGGGAGGAAGATGGCGTCCCCCTCCTCACCCGGTGGTGTAAGGAGCCGGTGGTGTGAGAGGGCCCTGAGGAGACGCTGGATGCAGGGCGTGCTGGGGGTGGCGCTCAGCGACGGGATCGTGTCGTGTTGCTTTTAATGCCATCGCTGGCTGAAGGCCTGGCCAGTTCGGTCGCTTTACCTCCTTTACAGGAGTTTTCGACAATAAATGATTCTGTCTCGAGAACTTGCACGGTTGCGGGTGAGTCGGAGGCTAGTGTTGGAGGCACGTTCGGAGGGGAGAATTGCATCCTGTGAACTTGGGTTAAGTCTCCGCTGCAGGAATCGATCCGCGGGGTCACGGCCAGAGCGGATTTGCAGAGGAGGGTTTTACCAAACGGTTCGTGGCTGACGTGCGGCGGCCTGTAAAGCTGGGGGACTTGTGTTTTCCGCAGATGAGGCACTCGAAGAGAAGTTACTGCGCCGATTGGGACGAGAAGGACTGGGAGTCCGCCAAGTGGAGGAGCAGCAGCAGCCGCAAGAGGGCGCGGCGGTCCCCCAGCAGCGCCCGCGAGAGCAAGCGCTGCCAGTACGACCCCCCGAAAACCTCGGACAGGTGAGGAGGGGGCGCGCGGACCCGGGGCGCCGCTTCCTTCCTGTGTGCGGTGTGGCCTGTACTGCCTGTGAAACTGTGTGTGTGTGTCTTGGTTGGTGGGAGAAAACAACATCTTAGAGTATTTATTGTCTTAGATTTACTGAGAAGTTGAGGATACTCGGTATTAGCCTGAAGCACTGAGAAAGTGTTTGTTTTTGTTTTTCTAGTCATTATATGGAAAGCAGGTCCCTAAATGAGAGAGATTATTATAGCCGGCGCTACGTTGATGAATATAGAAATGACTACAGTCAAGGGTGTGAGCCCGGGCATCGCCACAGGGACCACGAAGGCAGATACCAGAACCACAGCAGCAAGTCTTCTGGCCGGAGCGGACGGAGTAGCTATAAAAGCAAGCACCGGACTCACCACAGCACCACCCATCACCGATCACACGCGGTAGGAGCGCTTTTAAAACGTTTGGAGATTTTATTTCCCCTTGGAACAAGAAACTTTAATTTGTGTTTGACCATTTGAGAAAGTTCTGTTTAAGATGAAGTTATCTCAGTTTTAACTTGCAGGATCCTTTCTATTTGTGCATTGGATAGGAAATGCCCTAAGTACAGCATATATTTAGTTACTTAATAGGTTTTGTTACTAGTTGGCAACTGTCATTTCCGTGAAATAGTGGAGGAGATTTAATTTAGGTTAGTTTATTGCAATGATATCAGTATAGTCTGACAGATTTTTCATGGTACTTCAAGAAATCTGATTTTTGATAAATTGAAGCCTTACCACAAAAGTAGACTAGGCCTTTTATATTTGAATGATGAGAATTAGATGTAACTTTGTTCTAGCAATGCATTCTTTCTATTTTTTTTTTTTTCACTAAGCACACCATTTAACAGATTTGAACATTATGGAATGTGTATTAATTTGGAGATCAGCTCAGATGGCGTTTAAAGTGTCATGGTGTTATTCTTGTATACCAAAAAAAATTTTTTCTTCCCCAAATTGGGACTTCAGTTTTATTTGCTATCTTAATAGTTTGTTTTCTTAGATTAGTTAGGAAATCTTAATTTGGCCACAGTCTACTTTGACAAGTAAATATTACATCCTATGATTTTGCAACAGTAAATTGGGACACTAGAAACTTAAAATTATGTTTCAGTGAATGCTACAACTAAGCATTTTTTTTAAGAAAACAATTGTGTTATGTTTTGTTGCCTTGCCACTTTGAGTATCTTATCTGAAAATCTGTTCCTTGCCATGTTTTTCTCCTGTTAACATAAACTATGTGCCCTGTGAATTTCTGGGGACTGAATTTGAAATTGCTCCTGCCAACCGTTTGTGGCCTGGCGTGTATCTGAATGCCTGAATATCTCCCCGCTGAATGAATTTCGTATTCTGCCCTGAATTCACTCGGGTATATTGATTGGCTGGATGATCTTGGTGCCGCCCACTTGACGTTTCCAGAAGAGTCACCGAAGGAAAAGATCCAGGAGTGTAGAGGATGATGAGGAGGGTCACCTGATCTGTCAGAGTGGAGACGTACTAAGTGCAAGATGTATAGAATATTTTTCAACACTTATTAACTTTTCAGATAACATATCTATATATAGATTAAGATTTCAGGGATTTGGAAATCTTTTCTCTCTTTCTGTTTTTTTGTTTTGTTTGTTTTTTTCCCTTTCTTTTGGTGGTGGGGGGGGATTGTATTTTTGCTTTCTTTAGAAATTTAATGTTTGTTATGTAGAACTTCCAAAACAGTAAATCAAGTTAAATGAAATTAGCTTTAAGACTGAAATTAGACATAAAAATAGTTACATGTTTTTTGACAGTGTTGACCAATAAAATAGTGATAAGGGAATTTAGCATCAACTAGAACAATCTGCATTTATAGCATTATGATAAGCAAAATGTTTTCACTTCTTGATTTGACTGAGATTTATTTTTCTCTTTTAGATGAAATTGTTGATACTTTAGGTGAAGGAGCTTTTGGAAAAGTCGTGGAGTGCATTGATCATAAAGTGTAAGTTTCCTATCCTGGCATTGTACTTGCAGTGATCGGTATAGAAAATATATTTAGCCAAAACCGGTTTGGCTCAGTGGATGGAGCATCGGCCTGCGGACTGAGAGGTCCCAGGTTCGATTCCGGTCAAGGGCATGTACCTGGGTTGCGGGCACATCCCCAGTGAGAGGTGTGCAGGAGGCAGCTAATCGATGTTTCTCTCTCATCGATGTCTCTAACTCTCTATCTCTCTCCCTTCCTCTCTGTAAAAAATCAATAAAATATATTTGAAAAAAAAAAAAAAAAAAGAAAGAAAATATATTTAGCCTTGGGCAGTGTTGCTCCGTTGGTTGAGCATCGGCCCATGTACCAAGAGGTCACAGATTCAATTCCCAGTCAGGGCACATGCCCAGGTTTTGGGCTTGATCCCCAGTAGGGGGGCATGCAGGATGCAGCTGATTCAACATATCTTTTAAAAGAAAACATATATAGCTTTAGAATATGGTCTGACCATGAGTTAGATACATCTTTACCCTTTACCTTGGGTTTTTTACTTGTCTGTAGGAAACTCCCAGTAAAAGATACTAGCTGTTTTTATTTTTATATATCTTTTTATTTATTTTTAAAATATATATTTGTTGATTTCAGAGAGGAAATGGGAGAGAGGTAGAAACATCAATGATGAGAGAATCATCGATCGGCTGCCTCCTGTACGCCCCCTACTGGGATTGAGCCCACAACCCAGGCATGTGCCCTTGACCAGAACCAAACCCAGGACCCTTCAGTCCGCAGGTTGACGCTCTTATCCACTGAGCCAAACCAGCTAGAGCTGTTTTTATTTTTAAGTAGTAGTAATTAATAGTATATGCAGCTTCTAATTTCAGTTTTAAGCTGAGAACAGATTTTATTTAAGGAAAACAGTATTTTCTTGTCTCACGAGGCCCAACTGTGGCCATCTTTTTTTTAAAGGTCATTCTAGTTGCTTACATTAAGTTGCAATTAAAAGATAATACATATAATCAAAGTAGAAGTGTGTAGTTTGAAGAGAGTGATAGAAAAATGCATTAAAATATCTTGATTATTTTTATTTATAACTTGGATTTTTCTCTAACAGGGGAGGTAGACATGTAGCAGTAAAAATAGTTAAAAATGTGGATAGATACTGTGAAGCTGCCCGCTCAGAAATACAAGTGCTGGAACACTTAAATACAACAGACCCCAATAGTACATTGTAAGTATCAAAATAGAACTTAGAAAATGGCTCTAGGTAGATTTTAAGACGATTATAAGAAGCTGTACTAAGTTATTTTTCATGTATTTGTAGCCGCTGTGTCCAGATGTTGGAATGGTTTGAGCATCGTGGTCACATTTGCATTGTATTTGAATTACTAGGACTTAGTACTTATGATTTTATTAAGGAGAATGGTTTTCTGCCATTTCGACTGGATCATATCAGGAAGATGGCATATCAGATATGCAAGTCTGTGAATTGTAAGTACTTTTTATGAAATGTTAGCTGTTGGTGTGCTAATTTTTTAAGGAGGGTAGTGGGTTTCAGTCCTGGGTGGTTGTCTAGCAGACTAATTGAATGTTGGCCACTTCTTCAGGTTTGTGGCAAAGACATCAGAGAGGTGTGTTTTTTGTTGGTAGGGACTTTGGGTTTTGATTTGTAGAGTACAGCTACTCTTTATGTTTCATTCTCAGTTCTGCACAGTAATAAGTTGACTCATACCGACTTAAAGCCTGAAAACATTTTATTTGTGCAGTCTGACTACACAGAGGCATATAATCCCAAAATGGTAAGTCTTTCATGTATTAACTTCATAGTTCTAAATGAATGTTTAATGTCTTCTTAATATTAATACCTTCTTAACCATCATTTATGGTTTTTAGAAACGTGATGAACGTACCTTAATAAATCCAGATATTAAAGTTGTAGACTTTGGAAGTGCAACATATGATGATGAACATCACAGTACATTGGTATCTACCAGACATTATAGGGCTCCTGAAGTTATTTTAGGTAAGTATTTAATTGTGCTTTGGGAACCTTTATCTTACTGAAGCTGATTTTAAATTTTACTTATAGTTTGAAAACATAATCATTTAATTCCTGTTGTGTCCCAGATACTTTGCATGTGCAGTCTTTATGTGGCATAGTGTGCCCATTTTACAGGTTAAGAAATTGAGGCTCAGAAGATCAAGAGCCTGACTTAAGGCCTGAAACTAGTATCTCCAGAATCCTAACTCTTACATACTATCCTATTATATTTAATCTTGGACTAAGTGATTGCTTTAGGATCTTTTCTATCTCAAACATCAACTTATGCACATTTAAAAAAACGTTTTTAAGAAACATTGAGGATTTTCCCCACTAACAGTTTGCTTTATCTTACAGCCTTAGGATGGTCCCAACCATGTGATGTCTGGAGTATAGGATGTATTCTTATTGAATATTACCTTGGCTTTACAGTGTTTCCAGTAAGTGCTTTCTTTGTATACGTGCCTGTTTATATGAATGAACACTAACTCATACATATATTTCCGTAGCTGTACCCCACTCCCCATCATAGACTATTAGTTGTAGATAAATATAAAGAAATAAAAATTACGGTATTGTGATTCTGTTGGGCATTTCATAATTTATGATTTTATTTAAAATATTTTTTAATCTATTAAACTTGCTGAATTAGGGGAATCTTTGGTGATCTGTAAGGCTTATGTTTTTTGGGGTTTTTTTTAGCTGTAACTTGCTAAAAGTAGGCCTTTTTCAGTGATCACATCCTTCCTTGTGTCTAAACCATGTAGGGACTAGAAATGTAGCAGCTATGTTAAATGAGAACGAAGCATAATGTGCAAGTTCAGATAGTTAACAAGTTTTCTTTATTATTTTAGACACATGATAGTAAGGAGCACCTAGCAATGATGGAAAGGATTCTTGGACCTTTACCAAAACATATGATACAGAAAACCAGGTATGTTTTGAGAGTAGATGCCTTCCTTAGTACCAGTTGGTCACCTGTCCTGATTAGAACTATAAAACAGTAATGCTTTTTCACTTAAGTAGCTGATGATTATTTTGCGGGAAGCCAGTAACAATCTCAATAGGCTGTCTTTTGAAATCTGGAAAATACTAGTCTGATCTATAAACATAATAAATGATTAAACCAATTACTATTAGTAGATGTTTAAATTTTCATTGTCAACATAAACATGGATATTGACTTACTCTTAGGAAACGTAAATATTTCCATCATGATCGATTGGACTGGGATGAACACAGTTCTGCTGGCAGATATGTTTCAAGGCGTTGTAAACCTCTAAAGGTAAGCCTGGGTCATTGCTTAAATGATCCTTGAGTTTTCCCTTTTTATGGTGGAGAACAAAAGTACAAGTGGTAGTAGAAAAAGCTGTTGACTGTTTCTTTTCCTTTTAGGAATTTATGCTTTCTCAGGATGCTGAACATGAGCTTCTCTTTGACCTCATTCAGAAAATGTTGGAGTATGAGCCAACTAAAAGGATTACTCTCAAAGAAGCCTTAAAACATCCTTTCTTTCATCCCTTAAAAAAAACTACATAGATCTCTAATTGTACAGCGAAAGAAGAGATTTTATAGACTGTATCAGTCTAATTAAGTTATTTTGTACAGCTTTTGTAAATTTCTTAAACTTTTATATTGCCTTGTTTATTTTGTTTGGATAGTTTGATTTGTTAAGTCCATAGCTAAGTAATGAACATCTTTTTCAATGATTTCTGTATAAAATGATCTATTCAAAATAAATTTTTTTGTGTTTATGAAGTTTATATGAATCTGGACAATTTGGTTTTTAGCACCATTTTGTTTCTTGTCACTTTTTTTTTTTCTTCATGCTCCCTTTTTTTTTAAATTAAATCTTTATTCAGATTACATTTGTTCCTCTTTCCCCCCCCCCCCATAACTCCCCTCCCCCCAGTTCCCACCCCACCCTCCGCCCTCACTCCCCACCCACTGTCCTCATCCATAGGTGCACGATTATTGTCCAGTCTCTTCCTGCATCTCCCATTCCCCTTTCCCCCCCAAGAATAGTCAGTCCATTCCCTTTCTATGTCCCTGATTCATTATAATCACCAGTTCATTCTGTACATTAGATTATTTATTCACTTGATTCTTAGATTCACTTGTTGATAGATGCATGTTTGTGTTCACAATTTGTATCTTTACCTTTTTCTTCTTCCTCAAAGGATACCTTTCAGCATTTTGTATAATACTGGTTTAGTGGTGATGAACTCCTTTAGCTTTTCCTTATCTGTGAAGCTCTTTATCTGACCTTCAATTCTGAATGATAGCTTTGCTGGATAAAGTACTCTTGGTTGTAGGTTCTTGGTATTCAGCACTTTGAATATTTCTTGCCATTCCCTTCTGGCCTGCAAAGTTTCTGTTGAGAAATCAGCTGACAGTCGTATGGGTATTCCCTTGTAGGTAATTGAGTCTCTTGCTGCTTTTAAGATTCTCTCTTTGTCTTTTGCTCTTGGCATTTTAATTATGATGTGTCTTGGTGTGGTCCTCTTTGGATTCCTTTTGTTTGGGGTTCTCTGCGCTTCTTGGACCTGTAAGTCCATTTCTTTCACCAGGTGGGGGAAGTTTTCTGCCATTATTTCTTGAAATAGGTTTTCAATATCTTGCTGTCTCTCATCTTCTGGCACCCCAATAATTCTGACATTAGTGCGCTTGAAGCTGTCCCAGAGGCTCCTTACACTATCTTTGTATTTTCGGATTCTTTTTTCATTTTGCTTTTCTGGTTGGGTGTTTTTTGCTTCTTCGAATTTCAAATCTTTGGCTTGATTCTTGCGCTCCTCTGGTCTGCTATTGGGTATAATATTCTTTATTTCAGTCCGTGTATGCTTAATTTCTAGTTTCTTTATCGTAGCATCGAGGGTCTCATTAGTTTTTGTGAGGCTCTCCACAAGTTTATTGCAAGCTCTCAAAATTGCGTTTTTTAGCTCCATATCCTCCATTTCTGTCATGTTTTTTGTCTCCGCATTTTTTATGCTTTCTTGGTGCACCCCCTTGTGGTCTTTGTGTGCAGTCTTGTTCTAGTTAAGCCTTGATTTTTTTAGTTAATACTGAGGGATTTGACCACCAGGCTGACTGGCTATGAGAATCAGCTGTGTGGAAAACTTCTGTCCTCTGGGGAGGTGCTAATCTAGCCTTTGCCTGAGGCGATCGGGCAAATGGCTCTGCGCAGGGCTTGGGCGGGGCGGGTCGCACAGGATCAACGGCGGGCGGAGGGAGCAGTTATGGCTGCTCTCAGTCCCGTTCCCAGAGGCTCTGCTTCTCAGAACCCCAGCAACCGCTGCAAACCTCGGAGAGAAAGCTGCCCTCACATTCCGACTGATGCCAGACAATCCCGCCTCTCCCGTTTGAGTCTGAGTCCCTAGAAACTCGCCCAGATCTGGAGCTCAGAGTCTGATACTCCCTCCTGATTGAAAACAACAACTGCGCCCTCAGCCACCAGCCCGCTTTGGGCGTGCACCTCCACACCTTTGTATTTTCCACACTGCGCCTCCTCTGAGCCTCGGTATGCTGTTCTCTTTCCTTCTAGTTGAAGAGTCTCCTCAGCCAGCCTTCCTGTGGTTCTGGGTGATGTCCGTTCCGTCTTTTAGTTGTATTTTTGAAGTGGTTGTTTGCGGCAGCAATCTCCGGTGTTTACCTATGCTGCCATCTTGGTCTCTCCCCTCTGTTTCTTGTCACTTTATTTTTTATTTTTTTTAAACACTTTTGATATATTTTTTTAAAATATATTTTATTGATTTTTTTACAGAGAGGAAGGGAGAGAGACAGAGAGTCAGAAACATCGATGAGAGAGAAACATCGATCAGCTGCCTCCTGCACACCCCCTTACTGGGGATGTGCCCACAACCAAGGCACATGCCCTTGACCAGAATCGAACCTGGGACCCTTGAGTCCGCAGGCTGCTCTATCCACTGAGCCAAACCGGCCAGGGCTCTTGTCACTTTAAAGAATGGACATGTTTCTTCTATTAGGAGGTTTCCTTCAGTATTGGAAATATTTAGCTTTGTTTTTATTTTAGTGAATTGCCAGCATTGGGACTTACACCTTTTCTAAATCAAATTACATGGGGTGTTGAACACATTATATAATATAGATGCTGTATTATAGAATTATATAATTTTCTTAACCAAGATCATCCCCATAAGTTCAATAAAAAAGTAAAAATAATTACAGGATATAAAGATCTAAAGATAAGCCAAGAAGAATTTGTTCTCCCTTATATTCCTGTTCAGATTTAATATTGCTGCTTTCCTGTCTCCCCCGGAATGGGATTTTGCAAATGGTTTAAGGTCATGTGCTCCTTCAGGACATAACAGAAGTTTCCAGATCCTTTACAGCAAAGTCTGAATTATCAGGTCACTATAGTAAGTCAGATTTTTGTCCATTATCACCATCCATCACCAGAGGGTTTATTTGCTGTAATAGATGAGCCTATGTTGACATAATCACCCCAAGCCTACCTTCTGGTTTATTTTTGCTGTTGTTCCATTATATTTGTTTAGGTAGTTCTGCTCGCAGATAGGTTTCAAGGCAATGTAACGTGTGATGATGCATCCGTCATAGGACACAGTATGTTCACTGCTGTAAAAACATGCTGTTCATCCCTCCCTCCAGCCCTCAACTTGCAATAACTAATCTTTTTTACTGTTGTCTAGTTTTGCCTTTTCCAAAATGTCATGAAGTTGGAATCACAAAGTACATAGCCTTTTCAGATGGGCTTTCACTTAAAGCGTTTTTCAACCAGTGTGCATGTGGCAAAAATTTTTAAAACATGCAATACCTGCCTGGCTGTTGTGCCTCTGCTTGAGCTTTGACTTTTGAACCAGGAGATCACAGTTTAATTCCCAGTCACATGCCCAGGTTGTAGGCTCGATCCCCAGTAAGAGGGTGGGTGTGCAGAGGAAGTAGCCAATCAGTGATTCTCATCAATAAAATAGCTATACAGCTATGAAGAGTTGAACTTTAAATGCCCATTTAAATCAGCAATTTTCAGCCCTTTTCATCTCATGGCACATACAAACTTTAGAGGTCTGGTGCACAGATTTGTGCACTGGTGGGGGCATGGCCTGCAGGTATCACCAGCTGTGGGAGCCCCACTGATCCTGCTTAGCCAAGTGGCTATGGACCCACCCTCTGAGTAGCTGCTGAATGAGGAAATTAGTCTGAGCTGATATTTTGGGGTAATGTCTTGGGTAAAGTCACGTTCTGTGTCCTGGGGGAACCTGGTGGAGAGCTTTGCACCCCAAAGCCACTCGGTGAATGTCCTTGATGTGTGATGCCAGGTTGGTGACACCATCGGGGATGTTCAGGGCAGCCGTGTTCCAGGATCCTCAGCCAGCAGGACAGAGTCCACAGTCACGTCCCCTCTTGCCATTCGCCTATGCCAACTCCCTGCGCTCTTTCTAGAACGCACCTTAGAGGGCCTGCATCACCTGGTGGGGTCAGGCCAGAGTCTGGATTGTCTCAGGTATTTGATAGGTGCAGAGACTTGGCCTCACCCTGGGCCTGCTAGTGGCTGCTCCCACAACAGGAGCAGCTGCTCATCCCAGTCAGCCAAGCAGTGCTCCCACTGTGGGAGTGCACAGTGGGACCACCAGGGGGCAGCTCCTGCATTGAGCATCTGCCCCCTGGTGGTCAGTGCACGTCATAGTGACTGGTCAGTGATTCTGGTTGTTCCACCCTTCAGTTGCTGGGCTTTTATACATATACTAGGGGCCCAGTGCACGAAATTCGTGCACTACAGGGGGTCCCTCAGCCCAGCCTGCCCATTCTCACATACTGGGAGCCCTCAGGGGATGTCCTACTGATGGCTTAGGCCCGCTCCCTGCTCCCCTTGGGGAGCGGGCCTAAGCCGCAGTCTGGCCTCCCTTTGTGGGAGGCGACCAGGCTGATCAGAGGAAGGCACCAGCCCCATCACCCCACTGCTGCAGCCACTGCAGCCACCATGGACTCCAGTCCCTTCACCATGAAAAAATGACAACTTTCTTTAGGCATTTTCAAGATGTGTCTTTCATAGGATATGACATTTCTTATTTTTTTTTATCCTTACCTGAGGATATGTTTCCATTGATTTTTAGAGAAAAGAGAAAGGGAAAGACAGAAACATCAAAGTGTGAGGAACACTTTGATTGGTTGCCTCCTGCATGAGCACTGACCTGGGCTCCAGCCAGGGAAGAGCCTGCAACCTAGGTACGTGCTCTTGGTCAGAATTGAACCTAGACCCTGTGGTAGGCAGGCCAAGGCATTATCTACTGAGCCAAACCGGCTAGGGCAGGATATGATATTTCTTAGCCCTTCCAGCAGCAGACCTTTGTTTTTTTTTTTTCTCCAGGCAGGAGTGAGGTGGAAAAACCCTACATCACCTTCTTGGATTCTTATTACCCAAGTTACTAAGAATATTACCAGTGGCATACAGGGAGCTTAGCCAATGAGCAGTCAGAAAAGGTGTTTCCTCTGTAGTTCACACTGATCCCCGGTTCGGCCCTTGCCCAGGCCTAAGGCCTCTTTCTGGGCATTAGGCCTGGGCAGGGGACCCCCAGCCCTGTGCGATCGCCGGCTTTGTCCCTACCCAGGCCTCAGGCTTCTGGCCGGGGCGATTGCTGCTCCGCCTTCCCAGGTGGCGTCTGGCACTACCTGCCCACCTTCCCGGTCCCCGATCTGCAGCCCGGATTCCAAGGGCAGCATCTGGCACTGCCCGCCCCACCTGCAGTATGCAAATTTAAAGGCCATCTTTGTTGGGTTAATATGCATA